ACGGGGATCCCCGGGGAGCCCGACCCGGCCGTGATCAACATCAACAGCAGCGAGGAAGAGGAGGAGGAAGAGGAGGAGGAGGAGGAAGAGGAGTTCGGGGAGGAAGAGTTCTTTGAGGAGGAGGAAGAGGAGAGAGGAGGAGGAAGAGGAAGAGTTCGACGAGGAGGAAGAGCTGGGCGAGGAAGAGTACGAGGAGGATGAGGAGGAGTACGAGGAGGACGAAGGCCTCTCGGAGGAAGAGGAGGTGGAGGAAGAGGAAGAGGAGGAAGGGGGGGCCGAGGAGGGCAGCCCTGCCAGTGCCCGAGGAGCCCCCCCACCCCCTGGGGACACCGGAGCCCTGGTGATGGAGGTGGATGAAGGCCACCCGCCCCCGCAGCCCGGGGAGGAGGAGGAGGAGGAGGAAGAGGAGGAGGAGGAGGAGGGGGCTAAAGCCCCCCAGGAGGGCGGGGAGGAAGAGGGGGAGCCCCCTCCCGTCATCCCCGAGCCCCCACCCCCACTCCTGGAGCCCCCCGAGGTGCCTCCCCCCGCCCTGGATGCAGCCCCCCCGCTGCCGCCACCGCCGCACCCCGAACCCCCGGGGGGGGCCGGCAGCCCCCCCCCAGTGCCCCCCCAGCTGGAGGAGGAGCCCCTGCCCCCCGTGGGCAAGGAAGAGGTACAGGGGGGGGTGGGGGGGATGTGGAAATTTGGGGTTGCTGGGGCGATTGGGGGGGGCAGTTGAGGGGGGTGGATGGGATGGCTTGGGAGCGCTGGGGGGCAGTTTGGGGGTGCTGGGGCGCGGGGGAGGAAATTGGGGAGAATGGGGGAGTTTGAGGGGCAGTTGGGGGGGAATGGGGCAGTTTAGGGGTGCTGGGGGGGGCAGTTGGGGGGGAATGGGGCAGTTTAGGGGTGCTGGGGGGGGCAGTTGGGGGGGAATGAGGCAGTTTGGGGGTGCTGGGGTGAGAGGGGGTGGTTGGGAGAATGGGGCGGTTTGGGGGTGCTGGTATAGTTGGGAGGGAATGGGACGGTTTGGGGGTGCTGGGGGGGGAACTTGGGGGGAAGAGGGGTCCAGTGTGGGGGGTGCCTGGGGAGGGGGAGCATTTGTACCCACACCCCCCCCCCCCCCAGGAGCTGGATGAGACAGCCACCATGCTGGCGGATTTCATTGACTGCCCCCCGGATGACGACAAGGCCCCCGAAACGGCCCTGTGACCCCCCTCATCCCCTACCCGCCCCCCCCCCGACCCCACAGCGGCGAGACGTGGAATAAACACGGACCCCCCTCGAACCCCGAGTGTGTGTTTTATATTGGGGGGGGGGGGGGGGTTTGAACTACAACTCCCAGTGTGCCGCGCGGCTCCGGGCGCGCCGGCAGTGACGCCATCACCGCGCGCCGCCGCCCCCCCTCCCCTCCCCGGGGCCCTGTGCCGCCATGAAGCCGCCGCTGCGTCCCCGCTTGGCCCCGGCGCGGTTCGTGACGGGCCCGGGGGCGGCGGCGGGGCCCGAACGGCCGCGGGCGGCCTGGTCGGGCCGGGAGAAACGGGCGCTGCTGGCGGCGCTGCGGGCTCAGGCCGCCCGCGGCCTCCCCACGGACCTGCAGCCGCGGGCGCTGCGGGAGCGGCTGCCCCGGCGGAGCGAGGCCGAGGTGGGGGAGGACGGGGGGGGGGGGGGTGACATGGGGTCCGTGGGGGGTCCCTTGGGGGGTGACAGGGGGGTCCCGAGGTACTGAGCTTCCTGAGGGGGTGTCCCCAGTTCCTGGGGGGGGGGGGGGGTGTGACATGGGGGTACCGGGGCGCCTGGGGTTTCGGGGGGGGGGGGGGGGCCGTGGCATGCCGGTCCCGAGGTGCTGGGGTTCGTGGGGGGATTTTGGAGGCGTCCCTGGTCGCTGAGGGGGGTGACATGGGGGTTTCTGGATGTCTGGGGTCCCTGGGGGGGGTTAACGTGGGGGTCCCGAGGTGCTGGGATTCCTGGGGGTCTAAGGGGGGGGTGGGGGGGTGTCCCCGGTCCCTGGGGGTGTGACATGGGGGGGGGTCCCAAGGTGCTGGGGTCCACGGGGGGATTTCGTGGGGGTCCCTGGGCGGAGTGATATGGGGGGTCCTTGGGGGGAGGGTGGGGTGGTGCTACATGGGGGTCCCCAGATGCTGGGGTCCCCGGCGGGGGTGTGACGCGTCGTTCCCCAGTCATGGGGTTCCCTGGGGGGAGCAGCAGCCCCGCAAAGGCTGCCCAGGATCACCTGGCCCCCCATGGGTGCCCCATCGTCTGCAACCCTGTCCCCCCGCCCCCCCCCCCCCTCCTCGGGGCTGGATGTGGTGTCCCCCCCCACGACCCTGCATTGCCCCCCCCCCCCCCCCCCCCCCCCCCCCCAGATCCTGTCGTTCCTGTGCCGGCTGCGGGGCCGGGCAGCGCGGGAGGCCGTGCGCACCCAGTACCGGCACTGCCTGGAGCAGCAACGCCGCCGGCGCGCCCAGGTCCCGGCGCCCATCGAGGTGCGGGGGGGTTTGAGGGTGAAGGGGTGGGGGGGCCCTTCCCCAGGGGCGGGGGACCGGGGGGTGGCCAGGCCCCCCCAGCGTCACCCCCCCCGGCTTCGTTTTTCAGGTGTGGCTGGAGCTGGCGGAGACGCTGGCAGAGGGGCTGGAGGAAGTGACAGCAGCCGCCTTCTCCCAGGTGAGGGGTTTTGGGGGGGGTGCAGGGTTTCTGGGGTGGGGGGGCAGAGTCTCTCAGGATGTGTCACCACCACCCCCCCCCTCATTGTCACCTCCAGGTTCTCACTGTCGCAGCCACGGAGCCGCTGACCCTGCGCCACTCCCTCCCCCCACTCCCCGACAGCACTGCGGTGCCGCCGGATCGGGGGGGGTCGGCACCGGGGGACCCCGCCACCCCCCCCCCACAGCCCCCTGCCCCCGAGGGCTTCACTGTCAACTTCCAGAGGGTCTACGAATACCTGGCGCGGCTCTGCCTGCGCAGCAAGGTCCCCCCGCTCCCCCCTGGCGGTGAGTGGGGGGGGTCCCCGGTGCCAAGAGGGGTGTTGGGGGGGGAAGGATTTGGGGCCCCTCTGTCTTTGGGTGTGGGGGGGTGTTGGGGGCCCCCTGGACGGTTTTGGCACTGTGGGGTGATCTGGGGAGGGGGATTTGAGGAGCAAAGGAGGGTCTGGGTCTCTCCCTGACCTGGGGGGGGGGGGGGGTGTTGTCAGTCCTGAACTGGGGCGGGGCTCCAGCTGGAGACAGCATCGCTGCTGTGTCCCCCCCCATTGTGGGGCTGGGACCCCCTCCTGCCCATAGGGTGTGGGGGGGCCGATGAGGGGTCCTAACTCTGTGTGTGTCCCCCCCCCCCAGAGTCGGCGGTGGTGCTGGCGCTGCTGGGCTCCCTCCCCCAGGAACTCGGCGCCCTGGACCGCGTCGCCCTCCACAGCCACCTCCGGGGGTCCTACAGCGCCCTGACAGCCCCCCGCCCCACCGGGACAGACCCCGCCGCCCCCCCGACCCCTGCGACACTCACCCCCGGCTGGGGGGGGGTCGGCCTCTGCCCCCTCAACCTCTTCCTGGTGCCTCTGCGGCTCCTGGCCCGGGTGGGACCCTCGGGGTGAGGCGCAACGCCCCTTCCCCGAGGAATAAAGGTGGAAATTTGCCCAAAATTGGAGCTTCTGGAGTCATTTCGGCAGTGGAATAAAGGGGGGGAGGTGTAATCACCATTTTGGGGGTTGCAGGGAGGGGTGACGCCCCCCGTGAGGCTCTGGGAGGGCACCGGGCAGGGGCTACCCCCCACACACACACACGTGGATCGCGTCTCTCGGCCACAGCGCATGCGCGCCCCGGCCTCCGCGCCCACCCCCCCCACCCCCCCGCGCATGCGCAAAGACGCTGCGTACGGCGGCCGGGCAGGGACAGGCCGAGCCAAGATGGCGGCGGCGGCGGCCGGCGCCTCTTCCTCCGCGGCGGGGAGCAACGGAGCCGGCGGGATGGAGGTGGACGTGGCAGGTACCGTGCGCGGGTCCGTCCCGGCACCCGGAACCGGCGCCACCGCACCGGAGCTCCGGGGCCTCCCCGGGACCGGCCCGTCTGCCCCCCCGGGCCCCGCTTCCTCCGCTGACCCCGCCCCTCGGCCTTTGCCCCGCCCACAAACCCCGGGGACCCGCCCCCGGTCCCTTGCCCCGCCCCAAAACCCCGATGGATCCTCCCATGGGCCTTTGCCCCGCCCACAAGCCCCGGGGACCCGCCCCTCAGCTTTTTACCCCGCCCACAAACCCCCGAGGTGTAATCGCACCTCAAACCATTGCCCCGCCCCTAGTCCCCGTGACCCCGCCCCCCACACCGCCTTGCCCCTGGCTACACAGCCTTGGGGCCCGCCCCCTGCCCCTAAGCCCCGCCCCCCCGGCCCCAGCCCCGCCCCCCCGGCCCCAGCCCCGCCTCCTAGCCCCACCCCTGGTCTCACCCTAATTCCCCTCTTTTTCCCCCCCCCCCCCCAGCCGCCCCCTCGGTGATGGCCGGGGGGGTGACGGGCAGCGTCTCGGTGGCCCTGCACCCCCTCGTCATCCTCAACATCTCCGACCACTGGATCCGCATGCGCTCGCAGGAGGGGCGCCCCGGACAAGGTACCACCGCCCCCCCCCCCCCCCCCCCCCGGGGTCCGTCCCCCCCCCCCCCGCCAGCAGCCCCACAGCTCCCCCAAATCTCCCAGAATCTCTCCCTGGGGCCTTCCAGAGCCCCCCCCACCCCCCAGTGGTTTCCATGCCTCTCAAGCCCACCCCCTTAAACCCCCATGCAGCCTCCACAGCCCCCCAGGGTTCCCCCCCCACACCCCCCCCCCCCCACACCCCCAGGGTGGGGGTCTCTATATGCCCCCACCCCAATCTCTGTCCCCCATATCCCCAAGGTGGGGTGGTACCTGGGGCTGGTGGAGGGGTGTCCGTCCCTCTCCCCACCACGAGGTTTGGGGCCGTTGGGGGTGCACCCCAGTGCCCCCCATCACCCCCCCACCACCACCACCACCACCACCCCCCCCCGCCTTAAATCCCGCAGTGATCGGGGCCCTCATCGGGCGCCAGGAGGGCCGCAACATCGAGGTGATGAATTCCTTCGAGCTGCTCTCGCACACGGTGGATGGGCACGTCCTCATCGACAAGGAGTACTACTACACCAAGGAGGAGCAGTGTGAGGGGTCCGGGGAGCTCCTGGGGGGTCCTGAAGGGGTCCCGGGCTGCTTCTGGGGGTTTTTTTTTTGGGGGGGGGGGGGAGATGGGTGGTAGAGCTTGTTGCAGGGGTGGGGGAGAGAAAGGTGGTGTCTGCTGCCCTCAGGGGGGCTGTGGGGTTCACCCCTCCACCCCAAGCTCCCAGATTGGGGGTTGGGGGTGATGGGCGGTGCCACCCCCCCCACCCCCCAACTCAGCGTGGCCCCCCCCCCCCCCCCCCCCCCCCCCCCATCTCTCCCCAGTCAAGCAGGTGTTCAAGGAGCTGGAGTTCCTGGGGTGGTACACAACTGGGGGCCCCCCTGACCCCTCTGACATCCACGTCCACAAGCAGGTGAGTGGGAGGGGGGGGGGCAGATGTCGGGGGGCTGGTGGAGTGGGGGGGGAAGGGGTGTACACCCCCATCCTGACAGCTTCCCCCCCTCCTCCTCACTACACATGCTCCAGGTGTGTGAGATCATCGAGAGCCCCCTCTTCCTCAAGCTGAACCCCATGACAAAGCACACAGATGTAAGTTGGGGGGGGGGGAACAGTCCCAGCATGTGGGGGTAACCACACTGTGAGGGGGGAGTCTGGGCCCCCCCCAAAACACAGCTTTTCTCTCTTTCCCCCCCAACACCCCAGCTGCCCGTCAGCGTCTTCGAGTCTGTCATTGACATCATCAACGGGGAGGTCAGTCGCTGCTGGAGGGGGGAAATGGGGCTGGGGGGGGCGGGGGAAATGGGGGTACAGGGGAGGTTCCTGAGGCTGGGGGGGGATGATGGGGGGGGTATTGGGGCTGGGGAGGGGTGCGGGGGGTCGCTCAGGGTGGGTATGGGGTGGTTGGTTGAGGCCATAGGGGGTCTGGGGGGGGGGTGGTTGGGGGGCTTGTAGGGCTGTCCTGCCCCCCCATCATCCCCCCCCCCATCATTCCACACCCCCCCAGGCCACGATGCTCTTCGCGGAGCTGACCTACACTCTGGCCACCGAGGAGGCCGAGCGCATCGGGGTCGACCACGTGGCCCGAATGACGGCGACCGGCAGCGGGGAGAACTCCACAGGTTGGGGGGGGGGGGGGGGTTACACAGAGACACACACAACGTGGGGCTGGGGGGGCAGTCCCAGAGCTGGGGCGGGGGCGCAGGGAAGGGGGGGGGGGGGGGATGTGTGTGTAGGGGGGAATGTGGGGACAGGAGCTGCAGGGACACGGCTCTTGGGCTGGAGCTGCCTGGGGAGGATGGGGGGGGGGGGGGGCGGGAACAGACACTGGGGGGGACACACAGGTGGCCTTGACCCCCCCCACCCCCCCCCTGCAGTGGCTGAGCACCTCATCGCCCAGCACAGCGCCATCAAGATGCTGCACAGCCGCGTCAAGCTGATCCTGGAGTACGTGCGGGCCTCCGAGGCCGGTGAGTCGGGGACACGGCTGGCCCCAGCGCCCGGGGCGGGTGACGGGGCAGGTTTGTCCCTGGGCTGTCCCCAAGTGACTGTCCCCGGTGCCCGGGGGGGGGGGGGGGTGTCCCCGTGGAAGTAGGGCTGTCCCCAAGGGCCCTGGCTGTCCCCCTGGTGTCCCCGAGACTGATGGGGTCCGGGGAGGTCCCCGTGGGAGTCAGGCTGTCCCCCTGGTGTCCCCGAGACTGACAGGGTCGGGGGGGTCCCCGTGGAAGTAGGGCTGCCCCCCTGGGGTCCCCAAAACTGACAGGATCTGGAGGGGGGGGGGTGTCCCCGTGGGAGTTGGGCTGTCCCCAAGGGCCCTGGCTGTCCCCCTGGTGTCCCCGAGACTGATGGGGTCCGGGGAGGTCCCCGTGGGAGTCAGGCTGTCCCCCTGGGGTCCCCAAAACTGACAGGATCTGGGGGGGGGATTCCCCGTGGGAGTTGGGCTGTCCCCCTGGGGTCCCCAAAACTGACAGGATCTGGGGGGGGGGGGGGGGGGGGGTCCCCGTGGGAGTTGGGCTGTCCCCAAGGGCCCTGGCTGTCCCCCTGGTGTCCCCGAGACTGATGGGGTCCGGGAAGGTCCCCGTGGGAGTCAGGCTGTCCCCCTGGGGTCCCCGAGACTGACAGGGTCCGGGGGGGCCCCCGTGGAAGTAGGGCTGCCCCCCTGGGGTCCCCAAAACTGATGGGATCTGGGGGGTCCCCGTGGGAGTTGGGCTGTCCCCAGGGGCCCTGGCTGCCCCCCTGGGGGTCCCCGAGACTGACGGGGTCCCCGCAGGCGAGGTGCCCTTCAACCACGAGATCCTGCGGGAAGCCTACGCCCTGTGCCACTGCCTGCCCGTGCTCAGCACCGACAAGTTCAAGACAGATTTCTACGATGTGAGTGAGGGGGGGGTGCGGGGGGGGGGGGATCAGGTCCCCGTGTCCCTATCGGGGCACAGGGTGGGCCAGGGCTGGCTCCTCTGCCAGTGGTGCTGGTGGCTGGGCTGGAAGCAGTTTTGGGAGGGGGGGGGGGTGGGGTGGGGCAGGGGTGTGGATGGGCACCACAGCAGCCCAGTAACACCCCCCGCCCCCCAGCAATGCAACGACGTGGGGCTGATGGCTTATCTGGGCACCATCACCAAGACCTGCAACACCATGAACCAGTTCGTCAACAAGTTCAACATCCTCTACGACCGGCAAGGCATCGGCCGCCGCATGCGGGGGCTCTTCTTCTAGGGACACGCACACACGCTGGGGTCACCCTCCCATCAGGACTGTCCCCCCTCCTGGGCGGTTTCCCCCCCCCCCCCCCCAATAAATCAGCTCCAGGATGGGAAGGGTGGCCTTGTTTGATGTCTTTGGGAGAGCTGCACTGGGGTGGACGGAAGAAGCTGGTGGTGCCGCTAAAACCAGGATTTATTGGTAAAAAAAAAAAAAAAAACAAACAGAAAACAACCGAGGGCTTGGAGAGATGCTGTAACAAGGGGAGCACAGGGGAAGGGGCTGCCAGAGCCAGCGGACACGCTGACAGCGGCTGCAGTGTCCCCCCCCATCCCCTCCCCAACCTCAGACGAAGGTGATGCGCGTGCGGGCAGGGTTGACCTGCAGCACGTTGAGCTCCTCGTACTCCTGGAGCGCGGCCTGGACCTGGGCGGGGGTGAAACCCTTGGCCAGGCAGCGCTGCAGGGCTTCGGCGTAAGGCACGGCCCGGCCCCGGCCCCCCGCCAGCTCCCGCACCGCCGCGAAGATGGCATCGGAGGGACGCTGCACCCTGGGGAGGGACACACACACACACACACACACACGCAGAGAGGGGTCAGAGTGGCCCTGGCACCGCCGCCTCCTCCCAGGGGGACACGATGGGCGACCCTTGGCTCTGCCACCTCCTCTTCACCCACCCCGGGGACAAGCTCCCCCAGCCCTGCCACCGCCACCCGGGGATGCCCCAGGGAGGGGCACTGTGTGTGTGTGTGTGTGTGTGTCCCCCTCCCCAGTGTCCCTCTGCGTCCCCCGCTCACCGGCTCTGCTGCCCCTTGTCCCCCAGAAGCGAGTCCTTC